GAACGAGCTTTGGTTTTCAGGGGCCTGGTGAATTCTCTTCTGACAGTGAGCTCTCTACATAAAAGTCACAGAAGTCCATAGGCTATAGCGTGAAGCGTGAAGACGGATTCCACTCACTAACTATGAAGTAAGGTCATTTTCTCTTTCCTATCCATATGCTCTGGATTGGTTTAACCTGGCAGTGTTCCACACACTAGCAAATCACGAACCTTTTTCTTTGTTGCGAAGGTCATTGTATCGTGATTTGTCTAGCTCACAATCTAGGTCCGTAAAAAATATAGTTTATGATCGTCTTTTCCATTCTGATTGCATTAAGGTAACATTGGGTTGGTAATACAACATCCCTTGGTCACCAGCTTGCATCACACAAACTTATTGGTTCGATAGATTGTACCTGGCCGTGTATGGGCCCTAGACACCATCTTACACAAAATAGAGTGACGTTGTAGAAGCTATTTCCTAATTCATCACCAATACTCCATAGAGAGTTTTTCTTCATTCACCTCCTCTGGGTAGCAAAGAGGCTTGTGCTTGTTACCAGCAGTAGGGCTAATAAGGCCTTAACACATGAAATCATATATCTCCTCGAATCACTCCAGCTGGTTTTCGTGCATCGCCTATGAATATATTGGTCATCGCAGTCTGCGCCCCGATACTGGAATCTGAGACGACGGCAAAAGACGAGTTCAATAACAGTCGACAATAGGTAGTGAATCGTATCCTCAAACGTGACACTCCTTATCACAAGGGTCCAGAACGCCTGCACCGGTTTCATAAATCAGACATCTAGGCACATCGTCGGAAATTATGGCCTTGGTCAACAATCTGCCAATAGTGAACGTCTCGTCAGCTTTGCATATTACAACAGATTAGTCCTCTTTAGTGCCCGCTTATTACATTTGCCTATGTGGTATCCTAACGACCGTCATACTGCGTACCGGATTGACCACATACTAGTACAGCCACTCTGGGCCTCATCGGTCATGCTGTTGTGAAGAAACTGGGAACGAGACGGCATCGATGACATCTTTGTCCTGCGCATCCCGAAATCCACCCGGCCAATCAAAGCAGGTGTTGGTTGCACTGGCGTGGTTTGGACCTATGGTCCGAGGGTCGAGCCTCGTCACCACCACCCAACTTTGGTGGTAGGCAGCTGTGCTGTCGTCCTCTTCAGTACCACGCCTAACCTATCGGGGTCTTATGTGGTTCGCCACTCCAACTCCCGGGTATTAGGTTACCGGTCTCCATCACTGAACAGCAGGTCCTCGTGACTATGAGACTCTCCCCGTCTGCTGTTCATCACACGAAAGTTTGTAATAAAAAATAAGAAACTAGGCTTCAAATCGGATTAACGTAGCTGTCATTGAATCACCCACAAAGTAGCAAGCGGTCTCGAATGCCGTCGTTTCACCTAGCTACTATAGTTTTACATCATTTTTGACAGTATGCAACTTCGAGGTCGTTCTTATATGGTTCGTCACTCAAAGTCCCGGGGTTTGGGTTTCTAGTTTCCATGATTGGACAGACTGTTAAACACTAAAACTTAGGTGTTAACTTTGTCCCGACAACCACTGA